CATAGTGAAGCAGGCAATTGAGCAAAAATTATTTTAAATTATATTACTTCTTTCCGTAATTATTTTCTTTTGTGGATTTTAGGAAGGAATAAGAGGATAAGTGGGGAGAGATGAAACTCTTTATCTTGGTATGGTAGATGGTGCATTTCAATGATAATACTTCAAGCTGCCAGAGACGTCTTAGAGTAATGTTACCAGTCTTTGTTCTTTTTCGATTGTTCGTCTTTTCAGAATATATACTAGGCTGATAGTTAAAGAAAAATGAAGCTGTGATTGTCTTTCAGAAGGGGCAAAACATACATATTTTTAACATCAGAGCAACAGAAAAAAATTTAAATAAAATTTTTTATTTTCATCTTTGGATGTCTACTAACTGTTGGATAGTTTAATTTCTTTGTTAACCTTTTTAAAGAAAAATAAAACATTTATGCACTTTAAAAAATTTTCCATGTTGTTGAATTAATTTGATGTAAAATTTCTGTAAATTTTAAGAGATAACTTATTAGATCCCACCAGGATATTTATGCCTTGAAAAATCTTAATTGGAATTACTTACCAACTGCTTGACATTCTCTGAAAATGCTGATGGACCAACAGTGGTGCAGTAATGAAAAAGCATAAAATGAAGGCAATAATAGAAAAGTAAACAAAATATTCTGGAGGTTTTTTCCTAAGAAAAAATAACTTAGGATACTCAGTGTCAACATGTGTCAGAAATGTATTGTGCTAAATTGTAATTTAGGAGCATCCCTATGAAATATTTGTAACTTCATTGTTTTATGAGAGAAACGTGCATTTAAGTTCCAGACTACTGAGTAGTGTACTTCATTCTTGAACTGTTGGCCAAGCATTTCTTTTTCTTTACTAGTGAGAATCATAGAATCATAGATTGGTTTGGTTTGGAAGGGAATTTAAATATCACCTAGTTCCAATCCCCCTGCTGCGGGCAGGGACACCCTCCACTAGACCACGTTGCCGAAAGACCCATCCAACCTGTCCTTGAACACTTCCAGAGATGGGGCATCCACAACTTCTCTGGGCAACCTGTTCCAGTCTTTCACCACACTCATAATGAAGAATTTCTTCCTTATACCTAATCTAAATCTACCTTCTTTCAGCTTAAAACCATTACCCCTTGTCCTGTCACTACACTCCCTGATAAACAGTCCCTCACCATCTTTCCTGTAGGCCCCTTCAGGTACTGGTAAGCCACAATTAGATCTCCCCGGAGCCTTCTCTTCTCCAGGCTGACCAACCCCAACTCTCTCAGCCTGTCCTCATAGGAGAGGTGCTCCAGCCCTCTGATCAGCTTCATGGCCCTCCTCTGGACTCACTCCAACAGCTCCATGTCTTTCTTGTACTGGGGCCCCCAGCGCTGGATACAGTACTCCAGGTGGGGTCTGACAAGAGCAGAGTAGAGGGGCAGGATCATCTCCCTCGACCTGCTCGTCACACCTCTTTTGATATAGCCCAGGACATGGTTGGCTTTCTGGGCTGCAGTGGTTCCCATGTGCTTCCCAAATCTTACTCTGAACAGACCTTTATGAACAGTATCTTGCCTCTGCTAGAGTATGCATGGTTGTTAATGTCCAAGTTAACTCATGTTAAATAGAGTTTTCAACAACATCTTTAATGTCCAGCATTTTTGAACATGAGCTAGAAAAGTGGGTATTTTGAAATATATGAAATATAGAAAAATTTGCAAAGAGTTATTTCAAGGGCTGGGTTAGAATTGAACTCAGTTCTCATTAGCTTTGCAACAATGAGATAAAAAGTAGGTCCTTCTGTGATCCACATAACATGTGATGTTATTTATGCATGCGTGGAGATCAGATTCTGGTATCTGTATTGTGTTTTGCTAATTTAAGGAGTGGAAAATTCATGCTTTTTACATATAAAAAAGTCAGATGGAAGAATGTTGTGTTTGGTTGCTTGTAGAACTGATAACACATTTTATTTCCAAAGACAGGATTAGAAATCACTATTTTTGTTATTCAAAGCTCCCAATCAGTTTTTACACCAGTACTGATTGTACTTTACTCTGTGAATATGTTTACTTATTCCCTCTTAATTAGTTCTGATTTATGCTCCTATAATTGCTCTGTGCTGCAAGGATGAATTGGATACATTTTTTTCATTTATTTTTGTCTGGATGAAGCTGGCTAACTCTCATTATGAGTGTATATTAAAAGAAATCTGATGCAAATCATGTGCTATCTGCAATAAATACATACATAAAGAATGTAAAAGCAGGAAATGATTTAGTGACTCATCCTGGTGTTAGGATAAGGGAGGCATCCTTTCTCTTTGCCAATTAGCAAGAATGTTACTATTTGTATTAGGGACTTACGGTTGCTATACTAGATCTTAAAAGATCAAAAAAAGTCTTTGTTCTTGATTTGGTTTGCATTTGGTTTTAGTCTTTAACAGTCGTGTTTATCACTTTCTGAGTGATGGTGACACTGAATTGTCTATATCCAGTGATCGGCACAAAGATTAATAGACATTAAAGAAAACTACTTTTTAATGTTTGAGTTGAAAAACAAGATCTACCTGTCTCTCTTTACCTCAGTATATATGTGTATAATGCATATTTTTAATTATAGCATAAATTATACCATTGTTTGGTATTTGCATTTTTTAAAATAAATCTTCAACTAGTAATGAAGTCCTTCAACTAGTAATGAAGTCAAAAAGTGTGATGATGTAACAGTTATAGGGGCAAATCCATTTTATATAGCTTTACAACTTCCCAGATTAGTTAATTCCATTCAATCTGTATCAGATGACTGTTGCATTACTATTGCTGCAGTCCTTTCTTCCACTCTTTTTAGCTGTCTGCTGGTTACGTAGCCTCCAGTTTCTCCAGCCTGTCTTATTTTTCTCTACCAGTCCTCTTGTAATTTTTCAAACTAATAAAGTCTTTTGGGTAGAAGCTATCCCCTTTTCCTGATTCTAATGCAGTGAAGCTTCAAGATGCAAACAAAACATGAGGAATAAATAGTACTGGAGCACTGAAGGAAAAAGCACCTTTTTGCCTACTTGGCACATAACCTGCAAGCAAGGACTGCTTTGCATGTTGAAGAACTCTTTCCAGGGTTCTCACACATGTCCAGAGAAATAGTGGGTATGCGAGTAAGTATGAAATTTGGGTATCTTTGAGCAAGTTCCCAGTTAATTTGGGATATCTTCTTTTTAATCCCTCCTTAAAATTTCTGTTAGAAAAATGCTTTGCAGAACTTCCTCATTGCCTTAATGTTTTCTTTGCTGTTTTCATAATTACAGTCTTCCAGAAAAGACAAAATGCCTCAGTTTTTAGGCCTCATTTTCAGATACTGTCTGATACTGAATCCCAATAAGGTATAGAAGGGAAAAGGGTATGTGAAGAAAAAGATTTCTATGATGCAATTAGAGGAGTTGAATCTGCATTTGAATTAGGGAAAAAATAGCTAGGAAAAAAAAATGGCTGTAAACACACCATTGCCATAAAAACACATGCAATATTTAATGTAGTTGCAGCTAGTACCAAAAATTGAACTTACTTCTGTTTTTACAATGGGAAATAGATGTTTCATGGTGCCATAAGCATGTACAGATATAAAACTGTTCCTATATCTTTAAAGCCTATATGATAGATTTTTTTACTGTGATATCCTTACTGTTTTTCTACATATGCTGGTGGGGCAAGGTTGAGATTTATTTGCCTCTTTCTGAAAAGTACCCAGTTCTCCTCTCTCCACTCCTAAACCGGAAAGAAAACTTGAGGGGATTAACCACACTTTTGCTAGTCAAACAAATATAGTTTACCTTCAGGATTGCCCATGTTGCCAACTTGAATTACTGTCTGTACAGCAGTGGCTTCACTGCAAAGACTGGCACTGGAGGATAAAAAAAAAAATCTTCCTTAACAAGTTGCATTTATCTGAATTGGAAATAATACTGAGACATAGAGTGTTATTAAGCTTTGATATGTGTTTATCAGCATAAGATGAAATGGTTGATGAAAAAGTAAATTAGTCTGCATTTATTCTCACTATACAAAATTTAAGACTGTCTATGACACAAATTGTTTGAAAAGTAGGAACTTAAAAAAGGAATTTCCAGTTCGACCATAACTATTTATGAAAGGAGAGAATGGAAAATGCAATAGAGCAAGGTTCAAGTGAATATAGTTGTTCAAGCTCTGCTTTTTATTCAATTTTTAAGATACTTCTGTTTTCCTGATGGATTTCCTCAAGCACAATGGTTTAAATTATTATGGATTACAGATTTTTTTTTTTTTTTTTTTTTGCTGGTTTAAATTTAAAGTTCTTCAGATGTTAGTTTCTCTTTGATTAATAGCTTTGGTTTCTGCTACAGGTAATGACCACCACTAATATTTCATTAACCCTTTATTGGATTTCATTCAGATGGTATTTAACATAGGGGCTTAGTTTTTCAAAGTTGTTATCATATATTTTAGGTGAGATTCAACTTTGTATTCAGACCCTTTACATGTCCATAGTATAGCTTGTACTAGGTGTTAAAACTGCCATTGCTTTCAGTGAAATTCAACTCAATGTAGTCGATAGAACTAATTTTTATCCTGAATTGGGCACTGACATTGGGTCAGTTGAGTAGATCTAGTCAATAAAGAGAGTAGTTGCTTATATTGGGATTTGAAACTCCTGGCTCATACGAAGACACCCTCAGAACATAAACCTTAATTTAGGTGTGTGAGTGTAGATCTGATTACGTTTCATCTTCCTGTGTCTTTGTTTAAAAAAAATATCTGTATATACATATAGATTTCTTTTTTTTCAAAATGAAACATCACTTATGTATATTGGTGTTGTAAAATGTGATTCTGAAAGGTTATAAGTGATATCATTCGCAAATATGAACTTTTATATAATGAATAGAATACTAAATTTGTTGTAGGAACTGTGATTTCCTTAAGAAGCTGCAATCATAAAAGGAATTAGTTTATATTTAAAAGTGGTATATTTTGCTTCTTCCAGATGGTCCTCGGCCCTCACAGAAGGAAATCGTATCACTAAGGGCATTTATGCTTCTGTTTTTGAAACAACTTATATTGAAGGTAAACCAATCTATTCCAGATAGAAAACATTAAGATTATTATTATATACAGTACCTTTCAGGTATTTGGGTTTTTTTCATATGATAGTAGATAGTTGCTTGATTGATCAAATGAAAAAGGTAATGGCAGTTGTTGAGTTAGTCATTGCTTTATCCTTTTTTTTTTTTTTTTTTGGTTCCACTGCTGGTTGAAATGGTCCAGGACTCTCTCACGGTCACAGCTGAACACTAGTCTTTGAGGCACAATCTGCCATTTGAGGCTAGACTAAAACCCTGTATTTTCTGGCCTGGCTTATTCCTCCTGTTTCTTCTGTTCTGTGTCAGGGATTGGAGGAGAGGCCATAGTACTGAGGGCCCACACTGTAAGAATCCTTTCTAGCAGGAATAGAGGGCTGAATTCATGCTGGTTTGAATTTTCTATGTGATCAGGAAAAGCAATGGAATGATAGAGAGAATACAGTCTTTTGAGTTTAAATAGAAAAAAATGTAGGAGTATTTGACTTGGTCCAAGTTTTTCTTGAGCTGAACTTAAAGAATGTGTTTTCTCTGAATAATGCCCTTTTCTTTTTTTTTTTTTTTTCAGGATCGAGGAGTGAAAGAAGATGAACTGCAGAGCATATTGAATTACTTATTAACAATGCATGAGGTACATTTCTGTAATTACCTATCTTTTACTCTAACCAATTGAACCAGCTCTATGGGAAGCCTGCTGTTGAGGTTAGTTTGTAGAATAACATTGATGCTTGTCATACAGGATGAAAATATTCATGATGTTCTGCAGCTGCTAGTGGCACTAATGTCCGAACATCCAGCATCCATGATACCTGCCTTTGATCAGAGAAATGGGATACGGTAAGACAGTGAAGTGAGACAATATCTAAAAAGTAGTTCCAGTATCATCGCTCTCCAGGTTGCTTCTTTTTCACATAAACACCACGCTTGCTGATCTTTCAAACTACAATTTTATTAACTTAGTTTATATTTTTTGGTCAAAACCAGAGTGTTTTTGATAGCTTAGAGGAAGAAATTTTCTGCTTAAGGTTATCATTATGATATTTGAAGGTAAATGTACTGCTATACTTGCTTCTCGATCTCAAATAGAATATGTATTTAACAAGATGCATCAAAAAGACAAATATCTCTCTCAGAATAATTTTGAATGTTCTGTCTTCAGATGTTTAACATAATCTGGAAGAAAGAACAGGAAAGCAAGAGAAATCATGCCTTAACCTCTCAAATTCTCTCTGAAAAGAATAAAAAAGCTATCTGTGGAATTCATATGTTTATCTGTTTGACAGTAAAATTAATAACTGATTAATTCCGAGAGAAGCGGTATTTTTGTTGGTTTTTGCCTAATTCAGTGATGGCTTTTTTCAGAGATTAATAATTTTCATGCTAATAATTTAGTATTTACTATATAATTTTATTTTGTGCTGTTCTGAAAATACATTGGAAAATGCAAGAGACTTGTAAAATGGGGGGAAAAAAACCCCAACTACCTGATAAATTCAGGCTTTGTTTTCCAAAATACTAAGATATTCATACAAATACTTGTATATTAAACTGTTGAATGACAATGCTAGTTGAAGGGAAGACTCATTGTACTCATGATTAGGATTTTGTTTTCTGCCTATAATTGTCTGTATTCAGACAGAGTTCTATTCCAGATACATTTCGAAGAAGGGTAAGACTGATCGAGAGGATTTGAGACATCTTCACGTAACTTTTGTGGTACCAATATTGAAATTGTTTGATGGTGCAGTGTCTGTATTTAAAAGTCTTTGTTGAAAAAGTGGAGAGAATGCACGGAATTGCAACATTAAAGTGTTAAAAAAAAATGCCTTACGTAGAATTAAGGGTTCGTCTGCTTAGGTTATCAGAGGGCAAACCTTCGAGATCATTTGATAATGGCATAAGTCCTTTCAAAAGAGGAAGATACTGTCTGCTAAAGTGTTCTTTAATGGAGAAAGACTAAAAGCTGAAGCTCAGCTAATTCAAATGGGAAACTAAACTATAAATTGAAAAATTTGTTGAAGAACAGTCCAGGGGAAGGGTAATGTTTTCTGTCTCTTGGTGTCTTCAAATCAAGACTGATTTCCTTAAACCAGTCATATTAATTAAAAAGTAATAAATTAAATTAGGTTAATTTTGAGGCCTTTTTTTATCCAGGATTTGAAAACATGGAGTGTATTTGGTTTTGCTCAAATTTTGATGCAATGAGGATGCAGCTTCATAGGTGTATATGGGATTTTGTGTAACTCTGGACAAATGAGATTTCAGTGTAAACATTGATACCTGCAATTAAATGCAGGTCCCCTATCCTGTGTAGAAAAGATATTGAGTAGGGTTTTTAAGAATGAAAAGAGATTTTCAGTAGCATCCAGGTATTCCAAGAAACTCCAGGATGTGACCTTATGTGCTCCAATCTGCTTTTCATGTCTTAAGCTACAGCTGCTCAGACTGTCTTTTATTTGCTCCAAGGTAGAAGTACGAGAGAAGGTTGTCGCTTGCTGTTATAAAACATTGAACTGTACCAAAAGACACCATGTCTCTAAGCTAAAGAATTCATAATCAAACTCTTCTGCTGTGCTTGGTGCTTTCAGTATATACTTCCATTTTGTGTAAATTGCTATTTTTATGGTTTTATTTATTAAGAAATATCTCTGATCAATCAAATAAAATCTATATAAGTGATGTTTAGTAATAAAGTAAAAAATCTTGTTGAATTTGTTTTTCTTTTTTTTAGAGTAATTTATAAATTATTGGCTTCCAAAAGTGAGAGTATATGGGTGCAAGCTTTGAAGGTCCTTGGATATTTTCTTAAACACTTGGGTCATAAGTAAGTGTAGTTTTAAAATTGTTATAGTGATGTATTTAAGTTCACAATTCTTGTCTTTTGGTCATGATTACTGTATATTCTTTGACAGTCTTTAGAAATAATTAAAATAAAATTATGTTTACCGATTAATAATTTGTCCCTTTATACATTTAGATAAAATTTCTAGTTAACTTGTTACTACTATTAGTAAAAAAAGCTGAAGAGGGACTGTTTACAAAGGCATGTAGTGATAGGACAAGGGATAATGGCCTTAAGATGAAAGGCGCATATTTAGATTAGATGTTAGAAATAAATTCTTTACTGTGAGGGTGGTGAGGCACTGGAACAGGTTGCCCAGAGAGGTTGTGGAGGCCCCATCCCTGGAAGTGTTCAAGGCCAGGTTGGATGGGGCTTTGGGCAACCTGGTCTAGTGGAGGGTGTCCCCGCCCGTGGCAAGGGGGTTGGAACTAGATGATCTTTAAATTCCCTTCCAACCCAAACCATTCTATGATTCTGTGATTTTATGATTCTACTATGATGTTTGAAAACATACAGTGATTGTCTGCCAAATATATGATATACTGAACTTCAAGTCTTAAAATGAATTAAAAACGTTTTTCCAAAAATACATTTTATAAATGTAAATTGTATATTCAGTTAAGGATAATAGGAAACATATGAGTTTCATCAAAAATGTGTTGCTGGAATATTCACTGCCAGTGCAATAAAAGTTTCAGGGCAGTACTTTTAAAAATAGCTTTAAAATGATGGGAAAAATGAAATAGAAGAATATGTTATTCACATGGGAAAGTTTTGGAATGAAAAGCAAACAGACTAAGTAAATGAGTGTAAATAAGAGATAAGGACATACCTCTATGCAAGAAATATTCACATATAAAACGCGGCAACAAGAAATATTCACATTTAAAAAGAATTTCTGTCACGAAATACACATACTTAGTCTTGTCTTCCCTATTTTGTTGTTAAGAAAGACTTAAAAAGCATGCAGTGCTGTGTAATCTACTTTTGCTCACTTTCCCCATCTATGTTTGGTGCTTAGCCATCCGCCAGGGTTAACCCACAATGATACTCTAGTTGAAGACTGCACAGTATAAAGATTAACCGTGTGCTTCACAAGAGGCTTCATCATGAAAAACGTCCTTAGAAGGGAAAGGAGCTAGGAGTCCAGCCAGAGTGCAGTATTGCTAGACATGCTTTTCTCAGTAAGATCAATAAAGTATGACTGTATAATGGAGAGACAGTTAGCTGAGAATATGCTCCCAAATGGGATTTTTCTTTTGGGATCCAGCAAGTCAAATAGTGTTCTGGGAATTAATAAAGCAAATTGATAGCCCACTCAAAAATCTCCAAGGGCTTTTCAGACATAACTTACTAAAAATCATTCACGTTGATAGGAGTTGGATTAAGTAAGATACACCAGACTTGTTTGACTTGTGCAGAAGCCTAATCATGCCCAAATAAGTGCATTTGTTTAAATTTAAACTTATTTATCTCTTATCCAGTAAATCAAGTCACAAACTGTCAGCGGAACACTACAGAAAAAGAAAAGTGAGATTTTTCAGAAGCTGAAGTTTCATTTCCCAGTCCTTAGCATCTACTTGTAATTATGGATGTATCAGTGTAGTTTCCATTGTTGAGTGAAAGTATTTACCTAGCACAAAAATAAATAACTTCATTTTTAATGTTAAGTCACTGAAATCCACTTGAATATTCTGTGTAACTTTCAAAGCTTTTTAAATTTTCAGACCTCCAAACATCTATAAATGTTCACATTTTATGTAGATTTCAGCAAGTAAAAATGCCCCTCCTCCCATTTTCATATCTTACAGCTAGTGCTTGTGAGGTGTACCTATTTGTGCACATACATATGTGTGCATACGCATGATTTTATAAAATTGTAGTCAACTACAGAAAATTCCAAGTGATCATAAACTACATAAAATTATAAAGCACTTAAATTTCTGTTTCACAGTACAGGAAACAGGCGTTGTATTGTAATGCACTAAAGTAGTGACACAATGTGATTTATGAAATCTGAACCAATATAATATTAATAACAAATGTGCAGGTACAAAACCAGTTACCATTGCTGTAGTTCATATATATTCATCACTGATTAAGCTATAGAGTGGAGGTAATTGATTCTTAGGAGAAGTGACGAGTAATTTGTTAGATGAGAGGCTGAATAACTTAATTGATTTTTCTTTGGGATCTGTGATGATAGACTACTTTGTCTAACCGTTGGCAAAATCCAGTTTTTTTCCTTCTCTGCCATCTTTGATTCTTTCTAAGCCACCACTGAAATCATAGTCTGTTTTTTACTTTTGGTTTTTATCTGCACATTTAAACTTTCCAATGAATTTTCACTTCCATATGCTACATCATAGCTCACAAGGTTGAATATCTGTAGTTTTTCTCATAAGTAACTCATGAACTCTCTTCTGTGCACAGAAGAGTACACAGTTACAAGTTGTTGCCACTCTCTTTTGTAGTTATTTGAAAATTATAATATAATGTATTAATTTCAAAAGTTCTAGAATGAATCTATATAATTTAAACCTGGGTTATCATCAGTAATCATGAAAAGGGAGTTTCTTAGCTTTTGAATGCATAAAATTTTACAGAAACTTTACTGTCTTTTATCTTATTTTATATTTTTCTACTTCTTTAATATAGATTATTAATTATTTTGAATAATGTTTTTTATTTTGTATTCATTACAAAGTAGATAAATTTAATGATGCAATTTATTTTTTATGATGTTAGATCCATTTTTAAAAGAATAGTGTTTTGGCACAGATGGAATTCACTGATGTGAGCTGCTTTCTTCTACGATTTTTAAGATTTCAGTAGTTTTGGATCCTAGCTATAAAATTCACTTCAATCACTTGGAATTTTATAACTTTTCAGGGTTTTATTTCCTGTGCATTGTAATATATGTTATTCCAGGATTTAATTATTTTGGCTGCATGAGAGAATGCTATATAAAGAGAATGGCAGTATTGATAAATCTGTATGTGTTTAGTATTTATGTTGGAATATCTGAGGTTGGATTGTTCTGAGTCCTTGAGAGAGCGACAAAGTTATATTCTGCAGTAATCACATTTTAGCCAGCCTGTGAACATCTTGAACTCTCAGCCCAAGTAAGATAGAAAGGGAATCTTTTGTCTTTTTCCACAGTGAAAATCATGGAGGGTGAGCCCATCCCAAAATACAGCATTGCTTTCTGAGAACCTTGGTGTATTACTACAATTGCATTCATATTGGGAAAGATCTTAAATGACGCTCAACTCATAATATTTATAGAATAGCAAGGTTTAGAACTTTTTAGTACAACATCAAAATATTTGACTTTTGGGATTTTTTTGCATTTACTTAGAATATTCAACATGCTTGGCATTTTCCTACTATTTTATTTTCTTTTTCAGGCGAAAGGTTGAAATCATGCATACTCACAGTCTTTTCACACTTCTTGGAGAAAGGTTGATGCTGCATACAAATACAGTGACCATTACAACATATAACACGCTTTATGAGGTACTAATTATTACACACGGAGATTGTTATCTCTATTGTAAAAATTATGGCTCAATTATATTGTTGTGACTCTGTGCTTTACAATATCCTGATTCTCAAGATTATTGAGAAAATTTTAGATAGAAATTTTAAGAAAGGATTTCTTGGTTTAGAATGTATTTTACCATGCGTTGGATACTTTTTTAAACAATGTCATAATTTTTACATAGTCTCTATAAAACTTTCCACTTATGGCATTACAAAAAATGATGGAAAAGATCCTGCTATTTAAGATGTTCATCACTTTCCACATCAAAAAAAAGTTACTGTAGACCTGCAATTGCTCTTAACTCTTCCATTGTTTGGAGGAGTTTGTTTCCATTGCAATGGAAAATCCTGGAGCAAAAGAGATGGCTTTTTTTATCTTTTTCTTTTTTGTGCCATTCCTTTCAATTTTACAAAACTTTGAAATATGCTGGTTTTATTTTTTACTAGTAATGCTGATAGTATGCCAAAATGGTAACTGAACACAGCTACTTTTATGTAACAGATACTGCTTGAGGCCAGTGAATATGACCTCAAAGCATTTGACTTTTCTAGCAAGCTCTTGTAGAAACTTCAGATGAGCAATTTTGTTTAAGCAAAATACTGTTAACATCAAGTAGGTTGAAACCCATGTCCTCATGCTTGCAAATGCATAAAGATCTCATCCAATATTCAGTTATTTTTAGAATGGTGACTTAGATTGAATCTTTTGCAATTTATTTTATTATAATTTTTTTAGTCATAAAAAGGTGTAATGGCTTGATATATAGGATTGGTTCCAGAAAAGACAAGGAAAACTAAAGAAGTGCTTGATATTTAGGGTTTTGAGTCTGAGTGATGAAGAACACATTGTCCTATGATTATAAAAACCTGAACACCAATGACTTACTCAGACATCAAGTTCTTTTTTATTGCACATGTCTAAGCTTACCTTGTGTGGTTTGACCACTTGGGTCTCACAGTCTAAATGTCCCTGCATTCAGATTTCTGAGAGCTTCTTTGATTGATATGCTCAGAAAATACGTAACTCAGTGACTTGAGTAAGTGCAGTCCGGCATTCACAGCCATTTACATTTGAATAAATAGCCAGAGGAGGAGAAAAAGGAATTAAGTGCCAGAAGTACAAAAGACTTGCCAAAGAAATGATGCAGATATTTTCCACATTCTCTCGTAAAAGGCAAAGGCATATTTGCATTCTGTTTTAAATACCAATATGTAATGACCTATTCAAAGATTAGTCAGTTTACAATTGATAGTAATTTGATTATTGATTAATGAATGAACTAAATTTCTGCTTTAAAATAAGTAAGTTTTACTAGTGAAATGATTCTATTTTGAAATAAATTTACTTGAATATACTTATTGAGTATCCTGCATTATTATAATTAAAATTTTAGCTTGATCTTAAAAATAAAGTTGTATACACAGAAACAGTGACAGGTATCCCAGTGTGAAAAGTCTGCGGTGTTGCCTCAATACAGACTAATTAGTTTGCCAGGTACAATTCATGAAACAGGAGAATGATCTGTCTTGCTCATTAAGTGAAGTTCCAGGATCATTCCTATGGAGCACTGTCTGTGACTGTTCCTCTTTCCTAGCAGGGGAAAACCAAACCCACTTTTAAGAAATACTGGATTTGGTTATGGATGAAATATATGAGAATAACTTCTGATGCATGGTGCTCATGAAAGAATTTTTGATCTGTGAATGTATAACACTATAAAGAATATGAATTAAATATATTTAAAACACCATTTTTGTATATTTAGTCAGCTAACTAAGAAGTTAGTTAGGCAGTGATGGTACATCCTGAAAATCTTGCTCCTTGCAGGAGGAATTGCTCATTTCCATTCTTCAAGAATAAAAATATTTTATCAAAATATTTCATGTGGCCATGGTAAATGTTCTTCTTAACAAATTTAAAAATGAACAAAGAAATGCTGTAACATTTAGTTAAAAATGTTAAAAGGAGATTAATATTCTGTGTTTTAGATTTTGACAGAACAAGTATGCACTCAAGTTGTTCATAAACCACATCCAGAGCCAGATTCTACAGTGAAAATTCAGAATCCAAGTAAGGACAATATATTAAGTTTGTATGGTGAAAGTATTGCCTAGAGGTTATGGGGTTTTTTGAAATGGTTCAGGAAGTGAGAACAATTCATTATTGCATCTCAAATACAGATAGGTTTCAGTTATTACTTAAATTAGTAGCTTTTAGCAACTTTTTTTTTTTTTTTAATGTTGTTAAAGTGTGTTAGGTAACTAATTTATTCTTTCAAAGTGATTCTTAAGGTGGTGGCAACGCTGCTAAAAAACTCCACACCAAGTGCAGAGCTGATGGAAGTTCGACGTTTGTTCTTATCTGATATGATAAAACTCTTTAGTAATAGCCGTGAAAACAGAAGGTATGTCACTACAAATAGTATTTTCTCATCCTTGACTTGTGGGTAATAGCAATCTGTTATACTCCATATCGAGTTTTATACTGTATATTAGATGGAATATATAAAAGATAAATGGCATAGGTCTGGTAATGGAATAGGAAAAAGTAACTTTTCTTAGTTCAGCAACTAATAGTGAATTCTACTGTTTATAATACACTTTAAATTTTTATTCATCCTAAAGTATTTTTAAGTTTCTTCCTACTATTGGATTGATGTTCAGAGGATATGTTCCTCCTATTTTAACCATCATAATATTAAAATAAAGAAGCTTTTTTTTGGATATATTTTGACCTAATTATTTCACTTTAGATGTTTACTTCAGTGTTCAGTGTGGCAGGACTGGATGTTTTCTCTGGGATACATTAACCCTAAGAACTCTGAAGAGCAGAAGATCACAGAGATGGTCTACAACATTTTCCGTATTCTCTTGTATCATGCAATAAAATATGAATGGGGAGGCTGGAGAGTGTGGGTGGATACTCTTTCTATAGCTCATTCCAAGGTAAGAAATGGCTCTTGGATGTCTTTTTTTTTTAATACTGGCAACTCCCCCAAAGGGACTGGCAATACAGTTAGATAAGATGTCAAGTGATTTAGTGCCATCTGGTGGCTGTCTCCATACATGTCAAGGTGGCACTTTTTTGTCATCGTTGTAGGTCCTTTGTTGTGAAACAATTTGTAAGCTGTATGTAACATGTTGTTAAAATTCTTGTTAGTTTTTGTCCAAGTTCATGTAGCATATATTCATCCATATAATCTGTTCTTTTATTTTTAAGGTCACATACGAGGCTCACAAGGAGTATCTGGCAAAAATGTATGAAGAGTATCAACGACAGGAGGAAGAAAACATAAAAAAGGGGAAGAAGGGGAATGTGAGCACTATCTCAGGTCTTTCCTCTCAGACAACAGGAGCAAAAGGTGGAATGGAAATTCGAGAGATAGAAGACCTTTCACAGAGCCAAAGTCCAGAAAGTGAAACAGATTACCCTGTCAGTACAGATACGAGAGACTTGCTCATGACTACAAAAGTGTCAGATGATGTTCTTGGAAGTGCTGAGAGACCAGGAGGAGGAGTGCATGTGGAAGTTCATGACCTTTTAGTTGATATAAAAGCTGAAAAGGTAGAAGCTACTGAAGTGAAACTTGATGATATGGATTTATCACCAGAGACACTGGTAACTGGAGAAAATGGTGCACTTGTAGAAGTCGAATCTCTTCTAGATAATGTATATAGCGCTGCTGTTGAGAAGCTGCAAAACAATGTTCATGGAAGTGTGGGTATTATTAAGAAGAATGAGGAAAAAGATAATGGTCCATTAATAACTCTGGCGGATGAGAAAGATGAACCTTCTACTAACAGTACTTCATTTCTCTTTGATAAAATACCTAGTCAAGAGGAGAAACTTCTACCCGAACTTTCAAGTAATCACATTTCTATTCCAAATGTACAAGAGACGCAGATGCATCTTGGTGTAAATGATGATTTGGGATTGCTTGCACATATGACGGGTAGTGTAGATATAACATGTTCTTCAAGTATAATAGAGGACAAGGAGTTCAAAATTCACACAACCTCAGATGGAATGAGTAGCATTTCTGAGAGGGAGTTGGCTTCATCATCTAAAGGATTAGAATATGCCGAAATGACTGCCACAACTCTTGAGACAGAGTCTTCTGGTAGCAAAACTGTACCTAGTGTTGATGCAGGAAGTATAATATCCGACACAGAAAGATCTGATGATGGTAAGGAAGCAGGAAAGGAGATACGGAAGATCCAGACAACTACCACAACCCAGGTAAGTTTCAAGTGCTGTAGCCATGTATGTGTCTGATGTAATTGCTATTCATTGCTGCTGGATAAATTAGTAGTATGAGATCTGAGAGATTTTTGAAGTATATTTGTTTAATTATATGAAAGGTTTCCATCCTCCAAGCCTGTTTACTTTGAAAATGCTGTAACATGTGTAAGGATTGTGAAGTCTTTCATATCTGTATAGAAAATAGGTATAGCAATTATGGATGCTTTAGTTTGAAAAAACTTAGCTAAGAGAACCTCTCATCCATTTTCCTTAGTTCGTGTGGAGACATTATCTGACACTCTTAGAATTCTACTTTAGACTTTCTTGTTAGTATGTCTTAAGATTAGAAATATCTATATTTTACTATGAAATACACATTGAAGTATTCTTTACTCTTGCAGTAACTTTCTCAAAGTGTAGTCTTACAGCACTTTAGTACACTATCTTTATTCCCTTACAGGAAGGCTGGCATAATGTCCATATTTGATCCTAACACAAGAAAAGGAATAGTTTAGGGATAATAGAAGAAAAACTGTGACTTCATTTCCAGACCAGATATGATTAATAAAAGAAGTATCTACTTTCTTATTGGAGATCCTTTCTTGTCTAGGTCTCTCTCTGAAAAACTCTGAAAAATTAGTGGTTTTGTGAGAACCATAGCATTTTGAAAATGGGAAGGCCAAGGCAGAAGTCTACTGTTTGAAAGAATTTCTACTCTGTATACACAGCAAAATATAGGATCACTTTTAACTTTTAAAGCACAGAATTAATTTCCTCATTGGCATTGTTCAAAGATTGTAGCACACAATCAAAGATTGCTTTTAAAGATGTTATCAGGTGAAAGAATTTACTACCTTCAAGATTTTACTAGTTGACTATATGTTCAGTATGTACACCAGTATTTACGTTCTAGGATTTTAAAGTCAAGCAGACTTCCTGAAACTATGGAAGAAGAGCCAAACAAAAATTGCAAAAATTGCTCTGTATAGTGTGTACAAAATTGTCAGAAGAAAGAATTTCAGAAATACAGTCAAGTGCACTCAAAGTATATGTCATCTGATAAAAGAACACAGATCAGCCTGCCTGCTTTGTTCTTCAGGGAGATAATATTTTCACAAAAACTCCCATTTATGGACTTTTTAATTTATTTAAACAATCTGTAGTTTCCAAAACAGATACTTTCCCTTTTAAAAAAGAATTGGGGAAAAAAAAAAGGGTTTCTCAGACCATGGGTTCTGACATACAGAAAGGCTCTTCTAAGTCTCTCTTCTATAAGAACCTCTCTTTTGAAGAGAATTCCCTAGACAGGTATTACAAGAAAAGTTTGGGGTTCTCTTGTAAATATTTTTTCCAAAACTATGAAAATCCTAACATCAGTGACAGGCTATCAAGCATTGTGTAGGGATTCTTATATTTAAAAGCATTCTGTGTAATAAAGAACAAGCACTGAAAGCTCTTGATAGGAATAATGTATCTATTATTATCAGTTCCCAAACACCTTAAAATTAAGACTGTTAATACCATGGAAACTGATAAATGGGAATGAATAGAGGATAGCAAGAAAAAGAAGCAATCAGTTTTTATTTTGAAATATGGATTTCTGTTTCAAAAGATGAGTGAAATGGTAGTATTAATTTGCTAGGTATATATACGGACCCATAAACACAGTGAATTTGTAAGATAAATATTGAATGGAAAAGATAATCTGAAAATCCTGTCAGCGTGACTTTGGGACTTTTCTGTTTGTTAACCTCTTTTCTTGATGAATTTCACCTGTAGCAGTTGAATTATAAAAATGTAAATTCCTCATGCTTATAATTATTTGTTAGGATTAAAATGATACATAAATCTTAATGAACTTTTATCAGATCATTGTAAGATAGGAGAAACAAAATGTTTTCCAAATGTTTTACGCTTCGCTACTCATAACGTTCCAACAGATCCTTTGGATCTGCAAATTATCTGCAAACTGTGTACTCTTCAAGAGTCTGATTATACAAGTTTTTTAAATCCCTCGCTTCTCCATATACTACTTAGATTATAGTTATTTCCCACTAAAATCAATGGTAACCTCAATGAATTGATTTAAGTCTGTAGCCATCTCTCTTTTAAATAATTTTCTTAAAAACAATTATCAACTGTGTAACCACTAGAATTGTTATCTTCTAATCTCTTCTTTGAGTGTTTTAAAATACCCTGTGAACTGTAAGCTGTCCACAGTTAAATCTTTTCTGTTTAAATGAAATTAACCTTAATAAAAAAAGATGGAAATATGTATTGAATAAAATGTAAATTAAGCATTATTGTTTCCATGAGTAAAGAGCAATGTTAATTTTAACATATCTACAGTGGAGCCAGAGGCTGGAGTTTGGATTGCAGCATGTGTGGGAACTGCCACATTAGATTTGATCTCTTTGAGACCACTGAAAACACTGAAAATTACTTAAAGACTGGCCACCTAACTGTGTATAGCTGGGTTTCATGGTGGTTTATGCAATGCACATCAAAGCCTATTCTTGCAAATGCAGTTTTATTGGCTGGATAAAAGCTCTTCTGTTATGGTACAGTTATGATTACTGCTGCTGACATGGCAACTACCTGTAGTTGTACCCAGAACAGAACAAGTGGTATGTGAATGGAGCTGTTAACCTTGAATTGTCTAAAAACAGATCTACAATTAGTTGCCCACTTTATCAGTAAGAAGTAAGCTGTCTCTTGTTCAAATAGACTGAAAGGAAGCAGCAAATTGCACAACAAAGTAGATGGGAACTCCCGCTTACTTCTGAGAAGAGTTAATGTCTTTATCAATAGTAGATCAAATATTGAAAAATATAAAATTAACTTTTTCCTGTGGTCCTAACTAAGAATGACTGAAAATAGATTTGAAAGCACTGTGCAGAAGACAAGAAGACTTTAGAAGACTAAAGATCTCAGAAGCTTTCCAGCTCAACTCCAATGCCATGTCCATTTTTACATTGCTAGTACAAATATTTTGTAAATGTCTTTTTCTTTTAAATGTCCAAATTTATAATAGCATGCTGAGATCAGGAAATGAATATGTGAGCAAAGCAAGTATATTTTCTATTTTGCCAGTTTGAAGTTAAACTAAAGTCACTTTAAAATAATGTCAGTGATCAGACTTTGTATTTCTTCCTTTCAGAGATGTTACACATTGTAAGTAATTTCATTGTTATGAATATTTGCCTCAAATTCAGTCAAAATGTTTGTTCTTTACTAGTGTTTCCCCATCATATCCTCTAAGTATATCTTTTACTTTTGTATTTAATCACCAAGTATTGAAAGGGAATGAAATTCACATCCACCACCTGTTGGGTGAAGCTAAAGAATGTCCTGAGGACCCATAAAACAAATTAACAAGGGGTAACAAAATTGGCAAAATGAGATTTGGAGACTGGACTTGATTCTGTAATGATCTTGCTAAAAAGGCCAGATAAATAAATTGGTTTTGGAAAATGAGGAGCTGTCTAAAAGCACACTGATTCCTTCAAGCCATCACTGTATAGTTTGTCCATGTTTTGAGGCAAATGCTCAAATAAAACTATGTTATCAGCACAAAAGAATAGTTGTTTTCTGTACACAAAGTCTTGTCACTGCTGACCTTGTACATGCTGTGTTTGGTCTTTTCTGTAATACTTCAAGTGAAGAACCTGAGTGTAAAACATCGGTGAATAGCTGGGAGGAAGGCCAACCGTAGCCCCTTAGTGCTGATTGATTTGAATTGGAGCAGCTCCTTTACTGAAGGATACTGCCTGCCTTGGAATACCAATATCTCCTGTAGTTTGTGCTCGTGTCCTGGGTTAGGCCATCCTTTTTCCAATTCTGTGATCCATTCAAAAACACACTACAAAAAGGTAACATGATTTTTGAACTTGTTGTTGATGTAGGCAGTACAGGGTCGATCTGTCACCCAGCAAGACCGGGATTTACGTGTTGACTTGGGATTTCGAGGAATGCCAATGACAGAAGAGCAGCGACGACAGTTTAGTCCAGGTCCACGCACAACTATGTTTCGTATCCCAGAGTTTAAATGGTCTCCCATGCACCAGCGGCTCCTGACAGACTTGCTTTTTGCACTAGAAACAGATGTACATGTTTGGAGAAGGTAGGTGGTTTTTCTTCTTTAACTCCTGTTTTGTGTTTCTGTCACTGAGGAAAAATTGACTGTGGTGTAGAGGGGATTTTACTAGGGTAGTGAGAAGGTAGAGAGTTGATGTTAGCTCAAGTGTCCTTCTGTATCTTCTCTTTTCACCCCTTCCCAGCCTGTAACAGCTCTATTTCACAGGTAACATTTTCTGTTTTCTTGAGAGATTGTATAACTTGTACATACCTAACTAAACTGAGCTGCTCTTTCAGGTTCCATTTAACATTAGAATCTGCTGCTTCTTTTTCAGACACGAGGAAGACTCATGTGTCTGCTAATGGCCAGTTTTTCTCAATTGCTCAATTAAAAGAGAGCTTCTCTACCTGTGCAACTTCTAAATAAGAAGTCTTTCCTATCACATTTTTTAAGAACTCACTCTTTCTAGTTGACAATTTTCCTTTTGCATGCCAGCTTCTGGTTGTAGTCTTGGAGGTTGTGTTATATTTTATGACAGCAATGTGATTTCTGTTGGGTTTTGTACACTTTAACAGAGATACTCAATAACCTAGTGTTATCAGAGCCCTTAGGTATAATAGACACTATTTAATCTAATTTCCAGGACAGAATAGTTCATTTTCAGAAAACTTGAGCATAGTTGTATCCAAGAACCAATTTATATTGTATTTAATTTCCAATTTGGTGAACTGTTCTGTGGTAGTCACTAGGACGTAGACAATTTTGATGATTTTTTCGGCCAAATATGTGGGAGAGATTTACATTTTGTGTTTAGGTAAAGCTTGGAGATTGAAGTTCACTTTGTATATTTTCAATTGAAGCCTTTACTATTTGTTTGCTGGCTGGCAACAATGTTGTTTTGGGAAAAGAACATACTTACAGACCAAGTATTCCTTAATATTTCCTCACAGTATTTTTTATTTTTGAGGAGTGACTGTTTCATGGCACAATTTCTCACCAATTAGGAGTGGCTGAGATTTCAGCTAATCTTATTAGCATCTGTGGCTTGCAAAGCTATTGCTAATGCTAAATTTAATAATAGTTAATAAAGTTAATATTAGATCAAGATACCACCATATTATCAAGTTTCGCCTTTAAAACACTAGCAGGTGTTATCATTAGGTGTTATCAAGGGTGCACTAGTGCAGTATGGTGAACTCTTAATATTAAATAATAACTTCCATGCTGAAGAAACAGCCCCGCTGCTTTCAGCAGAACTGTCTGTGAAATGAAGTACTGGTTGATGGGAATAGAAGGTTACGAGCCGTTGTTCTCAACTGGGTATCTGAAACTAACCCTGGTGCGAAAATAGATAGCAATCAATTTGTTCATTAGACTAGTCCTGTTCTTATTTTTAGAAAATTTACATGCAAAGTTTTGTAGACAAGATTGTGCCTTTGTAGCAAAGAAATATTCATGGTCTGGTTGCAAAGAATAAATTTATCTAAACTTTTATTTTAACTGTTTGTTTTTAATCCATCCTTTCTTCTGTTCTTGCAGTCACTCCACAAAGTCTGTGATGGACTTTGTCAATAGCAATGAAAATATTATTTTTGTACACAACACAATACACCTCATTTCCCAGATGGTAGACAATATTATTATTGCTTGTGGAGGAATTTTACCATTGCTGTCAGCAGCCACATCCCCAACTGTAAGTACAATATTTCCACCTAGTGGACATATTAGAAATTGTTTTTACTAATGCAAACCTCTATTTGCAGCTGACTTTTCTTATTTAGGGACTCCTGTCCTTTCTCTGCTAATTCCTTAAAAATATTAAGTTTATAATTGAAACTGTTGAGCATTGATATACAGACTGTTTATATTTTGCATTTGAAATGCTAATTTTATTAGAGAAGTAGTACTAAGAATAATATTTCATAGATAGTTAATATTTTGTCTGAAAGGGAGCATTAGGATCATGGCTACAAAGGATTACTGTAACAAAATTACATGGTTTATGATGGCTAGTCATTGATATTCATAAATCTGTTTTGCATGGCGGCAATTTGTTTGCATGCCAAACGCTACCGGAAGTCATTCCCTCACTATCCTGTTTATTTCTTCCTTCAGTAGGTCCCAACCTTCATTTCCTTCTTTTGTTTCTAAATCTTGTCTTGAAATAGGCTGATATTTTTATCCACTCTGATGTTCTTAGTACATTGTAATTTCTTAGGATATCACAGTTTAGGCAGGCAGAGTAGCCTAATAGAATGCTTCATAAAAAAGGGAGAAATATTTTGTAAATATTACATTATTGTCAATAGTAATTACAGTATTCAAATGTGACACCTTGTCTGTGAATGTAGTATCTGTAACTATTTCTTTCATATGAAATGTTTTGTCTTGAACATCCCTTAAGCATCTGCAGTTAGTATTGGCCTTTGAAAGGGGAGAAAATGAGGTCAAGAAGGGACAAAGAACCTCCTCTGAAGTAATGAGGCTAGTAGGCACTGGAGGCTACAAATGTAACTTGGCAGTAAAAGCTCAATTCCTTCTTCTAACCATTCAGTAACTGAGGTTACTTTACTTTGCCTCTACTATTACTTCTAGTTAGCTTGCAAAAAAAAAAAAAAAAAAAAAAAAGTTTTGCACAATTTTATTTGAAAGGTATGAATGTATGGTCTAGCAATCGGCTAAGCATAATGTGACTTTCAGCTATGCAATTAATGGTTAAATGCTGAGTCTTTACTATTTTCACTATGTTAACTGGGAAAATATTTGCTGTAAGCAAAAGTGCAAGACTCACAGGGAAGACTAGTTATCTGTCATCACAATAATGACATCAAGGTTGCTGAATAAAAGATTTTGTAAGTGCGTGCTTCATTGTAAATATTGACAAGTATGAGAGAGTGCACAAGCCATCTTGAAATGCAGGCTGAACTATCAGTCTTTAGATAAAAATACATTGGGAGATATTTTTTAAAACAAACCTTTTAGATATCATTTGAAAATTAAGATGTTTTGACATCTTTTATATAAAAAGATAAACCAGGCACAGTATTAATTAGGCTGCAATTCCATTGAATGGTCTTGGCATTTTTTAGTTCTCCTCCTAATTTATGATGCTGCAGAGCCATTCTATAGAATAATAATTTTGCAGTTCACCATTTCCCTCTCTGCTGGATAATAAATATATATGTGTGTGTGTCTGTATAGATAAAGTTGATATAACTTTATAAATTATACATCCACTTGTTAAAATATTGTTTATCAATACTGCCTTGCTACAATAGCAGTGCTTTTCATGCATTGATACAAAAGACTACATTTTCAAATTTGCATATTATGCATGCATTTCTCCACTGCATGGGGACTATGTGTATTACTTAAATGCTCAATTTTGCAATCTGTTTAGGATAATAAAATACAAATAAATTATGAAATAAACTAATTCACTGAAAGATCAGTAGCTGGCTTCAAACTGGATTAATCCCACTGTGAAATTTTAAAAAAAAAAAAAAGTGTCCTACATGTACAGGGAGGGTTAGGAGAACTAATTGATAAAATCACAAATTAGCTTCACCTGGAGATAACTGTTACCATCTAGATGATGATTTCATAATCACTTCCAGCAAGCAGAGAGCTTCTTCCCTCCCATTCAACTCCATTCCTGTTCCATAATTGCCTGTCCATAAACTTTATCAGGAAGGTGAATTTATTCATCATTGTGACAGATACAAATAGCCCACCACATCCTTCCTCCTTCTTACTCTCCCTCAGTACTGTTCTGGATCACAGTTATGAAAGGACCAGATGACCTGTTGGGCATCAGACCACTTGTGAATATCCATCATATGATGAATGAAAAGAAGTTTTGTACTGATTCTCAGACTTCTAATACTTTTGCATCCTTGAACTACTGTGGAGAAAGTGGATGGACTGCTGGTTAGGAATATAATTCTTCATCTTGAAGGGGCAAAGTAGTCCAGTACTTACAATCAGTTACAAAAGACTCTGTCTCACTCTTTTCCTTCCAACAGTTACTAACTGGAGGAGAGAAGAGGTCTAAAACTGGAAGATTTAAATGATGTGTCTACTGCATAAAAACACTTACAGCAGGCCTTCTAGTGACACTTTCTGCCAGAGTGACTCTCAAGGGAGGAAGGAGCCAATATGCCTTCTCCCTCACTGATTCAGAGAAACACAGAATCACAGAATCTGTCACAGAATGGTTGAGGTTGGAAGAGACCTCTGGAGGTCATCTGGTCCAACTCCCTTGCTCAAGCAGGCACACTTGCACCAGTTGCCCAGGACTGTGTTCAGATGACTTTTGAGTATCTTTGAGGATGACTACCTGCCTGGGCAACCTGTGACAGTGCTCAGTCACCCTCACAATGAAAAAGTGTTTCTTGATTTTGAGATGGAACCTGCTGTGTTGTAGTTAATTAATGATAGGATCATAGAATGGTTTGGGTTGGAAGGGACCTCAAAAATCATCTAGTTCCAACCCCCCTGCCATGGGCAGGGACACCCTCCACTAGACCAGGTTGCCCAAAGTCTCATCCAACAATTCATTAATTAAATTAATTAATGTTTTTTTCCACAAGATATACAGTACAAATTTTGTGTTGGATCTGAGAAATCCATTCCAACATCAACCTTTCTGTGTTCTGTGTGATTTTGTGATTCTGTAATTTAAGCTGGCCATGGTGTTAGAAGTCCAGTCAAGCCATACTGCACTACTCTTAACGAAAGCAAGCTGTTCACGTGTTACATATGCCACTTTACTGGGTCAGCCCAAGAGCCCAGTTGGTTTAGCGTTCTGCCTCCAATAGTGACTGTTTGCAGCTTATGTCAAAATACAGGAGTCTGAGGAAGCATATCGATTGCTCTAATGACACTTCATTTCAGCATTTAGGATTTTAACAGCTAGAGAGGGTGTCCGGGCTGTCATGTTTAATAACTACTGAGGAATTTATCCTTCTAGACTTCATCTAATCTTTTGTGAAGCTACTTACTCTTTTAGCCTCTATAATATCCTATGGCATTGAGTCTGACAAAGTAATTATATAACCTTTGAAGCACTTCTTTTCTTTGTTTTTTAAATCCTGCTTAAATGTATAAAGTCACTATGTGCCTTACTGTTTACACTATGAAAGGAGTGGTTAATCCTGTCTTTATTCATCTCCATATCATTTATGAATTTGTAGGCTTGAGCCGTATCTCCTGGTCTGCCTGTTTGAATCCATAGAGTCTTCATCTTGTTTAAGCTGTCTGTCTTTGGAAGCCTCTGATCCTCCATATCTTTATGCTGGGGTGTCAAAACCCTCACATCTTGTAGATCCTGTAGAGTACATATATTCAGTTTATAAAAAAGTATGAGCTCATTTTAGTTCATTTCTTCCTTTTACACTTTTCTGAAAGGTGACGCTCAAATATTCCCACTTGAATATTCCTTTTTGGACCCATATTGAAATTTTAAAGTAGTAATTCTTACTTATTTCCTCCTAGTATGGTGTATTTGTGGTATAGGACATGTAATTTACATCTACTTCTAAAAATTAATTTGCTTTTTGGTCTGGAATAATGAAATATGAGACCAAAAGTGCTGTAGAACAGACATTAAAGGTAATTCCACCCTTTTACTTTGGGACGATAAGAGAGGATGGAATTCAGGAAGAGAACAGGGTAAATTTAGGTATCCACTTGAAGTACTTACATATGGACTGGATGTCTAGCCAATGGAGATCTACTCAATAGAAGCAAATGGTTCAGCTATCTCAGATGTAGACATTTAGTGGCTGGTCAGCCAGATCCCTGTAGGGTCCATCAACTGTAATGATTGTTAACCTGGAGCTGAATCTAGCCTCTTTTTACAAGATAGCTTACTTGTTTTCTAATGAAGAAGATCACAGACAGAGGCACATAGTTCCTTTATCGATCTCATGGTCCTACCTACCCACAGTTCCTTGAATTCACTGTGTCAGTCTGAGTTCAAGCAAGACCTCATACTTACAAGGATGCTGGTTTTTGAACAGTCCAAAGCTCTCTTCTCAACAATCTGCAGTAGAGTAAGGTGTTATTACATGTGTCCTATTGACTTTCATTTTTTTTAAAGCATTTCACCTATCAGTAGAATAGATATTGAATATTGAATGCTTGAATTAATTAAGGCTATATGTAGAAAAGAACCAAGAGATGAATATAGCAAAATGATTTTCAGAATTTGGAGGAATTGCAGATATATTTTTTTTCTTTTGTACAACAGATTTTGTATGGTGTTCCCTCCCTTGCTGAAAAAGCAGTACTGTCATGATTTCTTTAAAAAAATGAACGTTTGGGGAATTTCCCATTTCAAAAAGACTTTTTTCTTTGCATAGTTAGGATTTGTAGTGAAATGGCAGTACTTCTGGGCTGGGTGGAAAATTACTCCATGATCCCTTGTCTGGTGTAGAACATGCATTCTTAATTATGGAATTCCCTCACTGTTGAATTCTTGTAATAGAAATCTGCCTTTTGCCTTGCTTTTTTTTAATCCAAACTATAATGATCTGAATAGTGCTGTGAAATGGAGCCTTTAAATATGAATGGGAAGAAGAAAAGAAAAAATGCACTATCTGTGAAAACAAACCACTCACAACTCTGTGAGTGACTCAAGAGTAGAGTGAAGATTATACATTTGTATGGAATACCGGGGGAAATTTACTG